TAACTACAGTTTCGCTGGACAATATACACTCAAATATGTGAAATTGTTATTCAATTTCATTTTGAATAACATTTAACGACGTTTTTTAAACGTCTGTAAAAATAAGAATACATCGCCAAATGTCTTTACTGATGAAATAAAAACGTCACCCGGACCGTCGGGTTAGTGGCGTATGGAAAGGTATTACTGACGAAGTTAATTTTTCGTCACAAAATATTACGAGTACTGATATTTTTGCATGGTTTTGAAAATGTCATTGAATACATAATTTTTGCAACGGAATATTAAAAAAAACGTCAGTAATAGTTTGTGACGAAGTAAAATATTTCGTCAGCAAATGTGTCTTTGCTGACGTTTTCCATACAATTATGCTTGTCATTAATAAATTTAATTGGTGACGAAAAATGAAATGCGTCAATAAAATAACATTCGTTGACGATTGTGTACATTATTATGTTGCCGGTAAAAAGACATTTACTGACATTTTTTCCATATTCGTTTTTCATCACAAAATTTTATATTTGGAGATATTTACAATTTTGTGACCCTTTATTGGTGATAATTTACATATGCTTGTATATAGAATGGTTTACACAACAATTTCATGAAATTGAAAATAAAATATTTTAGCATCAATTAAATGTTCAAAATAGAAGAATATTTTTCATAGTGTAATATTGAATTACAAAGATGTAATGTGATACAAATGATTAATCCTAAATAAGGTCAAACTAGACACGGGAATATATACAATTCTATGCACATAAAGATTGGTAATAATTCTCATCTTCATCAAAACTATTGAGGTCAGCACTTTGGAAGTCCTTTGTCTTGGGGAGAATGTCTGATGTGATGAGTACATCTAGATATGCAATAATTCCCTGCCACTAAAAAACGTAAATGTTTTTCCATCATGAGTAATAAATTATTCAAAATTATATATTCAACTCAATATAGTTTTTTTTTTTGAAAGCCAAGGACCAATCAGATAGTTAATTTACCTCGCTTTTATACTTTCTTGTGATTATATTTAATTTCTAACATAAATTTTCTTTGATAATATTTCATTTAGTTGCGTATAGCATGTAATCAATTTTCATTCTATCAGTATACTCCACAAAACCAAAATTTATATAATAAAGAAATGATAAATACAATTCTAAACTTTGGTTATACCTTCAAATGTTGGTATGCCCCTTGAGTTCCTGTAACACTGAGCTTCGCATTCAAAAATGTCATATTCCTCATTGAAATTGGATAGTCATGCCATTTCATCCACTAAAACCTCTTGAACCTATCAACAAAAAGATCTTCAACTACTTCAATTCCTTGACACAGAATAGATAATAATAAAAACAAAAATTCGCTTTGTAAAACGCTATATGATCCTGTTAGAAGCTTCTGATGTGCAATTTGGCTTTCCAGTGCCATGCGAACACACCTTGCTCGGACACAAGCTTGAACTCTTACAAGAGCTTGCATACAGGCTACAACGGAGAGTGATAGCAGCTTGTTTTCTTACAGCATGGCCCCTGTGTTTGCTACATGGATCGTATATCTCCATAAATGCATATAAATGCTAAAGCCATTGTTACTTGTTAGCCCTGGAACTATCATATATTTATCCAAATTCATAAGAAAAGAAATACTAAATATATTTATTTTTAGTTTCAAAATATATTTATAGAGAATTGGATCCATAAAACATAATTAAAAGGAAGAAAAATGAGAACATAATGATTACATTAAGACTCTTTGCAAGTTATTCAGATAAAATGAGGCAAAATCCAGGCAGCAAAAGCTAAAAGAAGATTTCAACTAAACAGAGAACAATATATGTACCAACTGACATAAGTTATGCATTAAGAGCAAATTCAGTACCAGAAATCCTCAACAATTAGAAATTAATAGACCGAAATGCCCTTACATTTAGCTCCATCTAAACGGATTTTTTTTTTTTGATGGAGAACCAAAATGGTCATGCCACAATAATAATAGGACCAATGGAAGGTGTTTTGAAAAAAAAAAAAAAAAAAAAAAAAAAAAAAAAAACTAAAAGTGAACTCACACTTATAAATTTAAGACAAAAATGGATTAACTAAAACCATTATGTACTTCTTTTGCAAAAAAAAATTTAAAAAAAAATAAAAATTAATTTTTTTTTTTTTGGTGCTTAAAATAATTTTCCTTATGCAGTTTCCTGTATTGATTTTAACGTGTCTGGTGTCTATGCACGCCAACATTTTTATAGGATAAGATGTTTACATTTTAAAGAAGCAAAGCCAATAATTTCCTTTAGTGATCTTAACGTGTCTGTTGTCTATCAATCATTATTGTTCTGTGCACTATATACTATCAAATAACGTATATTTAGTATACAAATAATATATTTTGGATATATTAAAAATGTACATTGTATTCAGAGAAAATACATTATTTAAGTACTGAAAATACATTATTTGTATAATGTACATTTAGTACACGAATAATATACTTTTAGTATATTAAAAATGTACTTTTTGTTATGATCCACACAGTACTGTGTGGACCATGATTCATTTAATAATTTGTCGGTGTCTATGCATGCTATCAATTTCTTCTTCTTCTTTTTTTAATTACGATAAGATGTTGGCATTTTCAAATTGAACCGTGATCATCCTTAATTAAAAGTTGTTGGAAAATAAAGACAAAAATGTGATTTGTTTTAAAAAAAATAAAAATTACGGAGTAAAAATGTAAGAAGTGATAATTAATCTAATCCACCAACCTCTCCCATTTCTAAATGTAATAAATGTACTTAGAGGGAATTTAAAGTCACATGTAGATCCTTCGACATGTATTTAGCGGACTCGGTGACAAAGGAAAGAAGTCCAAATTTCCTCCTTGGTCTGATTGCTTGATAGGATCGAATAGTTTGATGATAATGGTGACTTCCTGGCCGAGATTGCATGTTAGACCCCATCTAGTTGAAGCCATGGCCAGTTAAGAAGCTCTATCCTAGTTAAATCGGAGAAACATTGCTAGCGCTCACATTGATGTAACGTTTATCCGTTACTATTATTATAACATTAGGATAAGTTATAATAATATTCAGTATTTGATATGTGGTGCAATACTAATAACCTAATAACTAGACTACCATTATGATTAGGAGTCTGGTTAGGGTTTAGGAGACCTAAAGACAATCAACCACAATGATGGCCAGTGGTTATATAAGGTCACTAGTCCTCTCACTGCTCACATTACATACCTCATACACCATCTAGAGAGAGCTGAGTAAAGTGAGAGACAAAATACTCGTTACCTCTGCAGCAGTCCGGATCGTACAACCGTGTAAAGAGCTATGGCTGGAGGTTAGTCGATCCTGTAATCACATAATTATGATGCATGTGATATTTTAGTCTAACAGTTGGTATCAGTCGCCATAAATAATCTCTTCCTAGTTTTTTTTAATTGCTTAAATATTTGCATATTTTATATACTTTGTTATATAATTGAGATTATGTGAATATTCTTTAGTATGCAATTATATTGTCTGGGCTGCTGGAAATTAAGTTTTTATTCCGCATTAAGAAACAAAAAAAAAATTAAAAAAAAAAAATTGGATAATTATTTTGGTCTACTGCTTCGCACGTGTTCAGTCACCGGCGGTCATTGTTGATTGGAGGAGATAGATGTTTTTTTCCGTCGTTTTCCCGTCGTCTTCTCATTCAGCACAATCAACGATGGTTTCAGGTGATGGCGCAGCTCAATCGGCGACGAAGGCACGGCCTCAAGGAACGCCGTGTTCTGCACGTCGTCGGCTGGACTGGGTTGCATCGCGGTAGTACGACGGAAGACGGCGGCCGGTGGCGTTGGTGTTGCATTGCGGGCTGGTGGCGGCAGCGACGCTGGGTCTCCCGGCGACGTTGTCGCAGTCTGACCTCCTTGCGGTGACGCCGGCGACCGTTGGCTGCTGATCGTCGATGCTGCTGACCTCCCTGGTCTCTGCGCTGCGCCACTGCCTCTTCACGAAGCAGATTAGTGAAGAAGATGATGATGATGTGTTAATGGGCCAGGTCTGGCCCAATTTGGGCTAGACCTGGGCTCATTAAGAAAAAAAAAATTATCACGAACCCCATGAATCACTCGTATGTGGTATTGTTACGTCGGATTGTTATCGTTTACTCTCTACTTTTCAAACAATAATGTAACTTCCATATTTGACTCTGATCTCCTTATTATATTGAAACCACTCTCACAACAATATTTTCAACTTCAATTCCCAGCCTCCTATTTCAAGGATCTTTAACACCAAAAGCATTTTAGTAACCTTCGTATGAATTGTTAGAAGCATTTTACTACCAAAATTATCACATAAATATCATGGGTCACAAAATATAATCCTGTTTGGTAAAATGGCTGTTAGCTGATAGCTGTTAGCCGTTAGCTGATTGTGTTAATTAGGGGGTATAAATAGTTGATAACATTAGCTGATTGTAGAAAAGTGTTTGGTAAATTTGATGTTAGCTGATAGCTGTTTGGTATAATTTCTTTTCTCAAAAAGCTAATTGAAAAAGTTGCTTGCAATAGCTTTTTGAATTTTAGCCTTTTGGAGTTGCAAAAAGCTAATTAACCAAACATTTATATTGATATTTAAACTAAGTGTCAAATAGGCCCATCTGTCAGGCCCATCTGTCAGCTAAATTTGTTCGATTGACTTTTTTTGCAGGTTGCTAACAGGGCGTAACAGGTTGCCTATTCAATTATAAAAAATAACTTATATAAAAAAAAAAAAAAGAATTTCACTGCCGAATCCGTTGTCTATTTCACTGCCGGGAATGATAAAAAAAAAAAAAAAAAAAAAAAATTTCACTGCCGAATCCGTTGTCTATTTCACTGCCGGGAATGATGCGTTGGAGCTAGTATGTTTTTGCACATGTAAAAAGGCCTGTACTTGTAGATGTATTAGGGTTTAGATTTGTAGAATTTGGTGGGTAGCTGCGGTGGTGGAGTTGGAAATGGATGGAAGAAGGATAACGGCCAGTCCGCGGCCGTGCTCTGGGCGGCGTGTGGTGGCGAAGAAGCGAACTCGTAGTGGGATTGATGGGTTCGTTAACAGCGTTAAGAAGCTCCAAAGGAGGGAGATTTCGTCGAAGCGTGACCGAGCGTTCAGTATGAGCGATGCCCAAGAGCAATTTCGGAACATTCGGCTACAGGCCTGTTGGGTTATTTACTGAAATTTTGCAATTTGGAATCATTATTGAATGTTTTGTATGAATAACTGTGATGAAGGAACTAAATTCCGTCTTTAGCTTTACTGGGGGTAGGGGTGTGCAAAACCCGAAAATTCCGACCCACCCGACTGACCCGAAACCCGACGGGTGCATCCGTGCCGCGAACCGTATCCGAATACCCAACCCGAACTGAGGCTACGCTATTAGACGGATACAAGGGGTTCGGGTGGGAGGCATTAAACGCCACCCGAACCCGTCCGATTACCCGACTAAACCCTAGGGTTTTTTTCCGCTATATAATACGATGTCGTTTGGTGTATGTATATATATCACTCATTTCATTGAGCGCAGCCGAGCTCTCAGTTCACTCTTGACTCTTCTAGACTTCTCTCAATCTCTCATCTCTCATCTCTCGACTCTCGTTCTCTCTTTCGCTCTGGTCTTTGAGACTTTGAGTCTTAGACTCTTAGTGTCTTACTCTCTAAGACTCTGAGAGTCTTAGTCTCTGTTTGTTACTGTCTGGTGGAAGCCCTATTTGGAGACTCGGAGTAGCGACTGGCGGAGTGGTGGAACGGTGGAAGCCCTAGACCCTAGTCCGGTCACCGGAGTCTGGTGGAACTGTGGAACGGTGGAATAGTGGATTCGAAGCCCTTTGTTCTCGAGGGATTAAATCTGAGAAACGAAGTAATTACTAAACCCTATTTACATTTCCGTTATAGATTATTGTGTATTTGTCTTCTTGATTAGGGTTTCTAATTTTTATGATTATGTGGACTGTGATACTTGTAAATCCATTGAGAAGTTCCGGATTGCATGTCACTAGTCCTTTGAGTTTGAATTTGTGAATTGTGTGATTAGGGTTTCTAATTTGTAACGTAAATATCTGGACTCACTGGACTATGATACTTGTAAATCGTTGAGAAGTTCCGGATTGCATGTCAGTAGTTCTTTGAGTGTGAATTTGTGAGTTTGATTAGGGTTTCTAATTTGTAACCTAATCTGTGGACTCACTGGACTATGATACTTGTAAATCCGTTGAGAAGTTCCGGATTGCATGTCAGTAGTTCTTTGAGTGTGAATTTGTGAATTGTTTGATTAGGGTTTCTAATTTGTAACCTAATCTGTGGTGGAAGCCATACTACCCTAGCCCCTTGCCAGTTGCCACTGTGTGTTAAATACTGAAATCCATATAAATGTTAAGCGTGATGGTATTTGTGTGGAAGCCATATATAAATGTGGGAGTGTGTCTTGTACTCATGTGTGACTGAAATCCATATAAATGTGGGAGTGTGTGACTGAAATCCATATAAATGATGAGCATATAAAGTAGCATACACCTACTTAGCTTGAATGCCTGATTATGGATTTCATTGTAAATTGTAATTTGTAAGTTGTTAGTTACTTAGTTGTAAGTTGTAACTGTGAAAATGTGAAATTGTAAGTTTATGGATATGTGACCCTTAAATCATTTATGTGCAATTCTGCATACATGATGAAATGTTCAATTCACTGAATTCTGCCTGTTTAACACTTTAATTGATACATGTGTGTATGTGACAAAGGCCATTCTCTGTTGATGATTTTGAATGAGTGATTTCCCATTCTGTGTCACTGTCTCACTGATACTTTCCCCTTTTTAGATGGAAAGTGTTAGTGGTGTAGAGACTGTTACTGGTGTATCTGGAACACAACCTGAGTTGGAAGCACCTGCTGTAGAGACTGTTACTCCTCAGTCTCAGCAGCCTTTGCCTCCACCTGTTCCAAAGAAAAGGAAAGAGGTTGAATCCAGGGCTCCATGTTGGGATCACTTTGAAAAGATCAAAGACAGTGAGGGCATTGTCATCAAAGGAAAATGTATATATTGTGCAAAAGTGTATTGCTGTGGGAGCAAGAAACATGGGACTTCTTCTCTCAGACTTCATGTGGTAAACTGCCTTAAAAATCCTCACTCTAAGGAGACAAGGCAGTCCCTACTCACATTCCAACCTGCACCTTCTTCTGCTGGAACTCAAAGTAGTGAAGGAACTGAAGGGGTGTTGGGTACTTGGGTGTTTGATCAAGACTTGATAAGGAGAGCCTTAGCTGAGATGATTATTTTAGATGAACTTCCTTTTAGGATTGTTGAGGGACAGGGTTTTAGAAAGTTTGTTTTAGTTTGCTGTCCTAGGTTTAAAATCCCTTCAAGATGGACTATCAGTAGGGACATTTTCAAGATATTTTCTGATGAGAGGGTCAACTTGAAGAAGTTTTTTAGGACTAGCAGTCAGAGGGTAAGTATCACAACTGATACTTGGACCTCAGTCCAGAGAATAAACTACATGTGCATAACTGCACATTTCATTGATAGTGAGTGGAAGCTGCAAAAGAAGATTATTTCATTTGTTCCTATATATTCCCACAAGGGGGAAAGTATTGCAAAGGCTTTAGAGAGTTGCTTTTTGGACTGGGGTCTAAAATCAGTGTTTAGTGTGACAGTAGATAATGCTTCCAGCAATGATACTGCCCTAGGATTCTTGAAGAAGAAGTTGGGCTCTTGGGGTTGTACTGCTGTTAGGTGTAAGTATTTGCACATGAGGTGCATTGCTCACATTCTTAACTTGGTGGTACAGGATGGGTTGAAAGAATGTGACAGTTCTGTTAAGAAAGTCAGGGATGCTGTTAGGTATGTGAGGAGCTCACCTGCTAGGTTGCAGAAGTTTAAATCACTAGCTGATCTAATTGGGGTGGAAGCTAAGAATTCTCTGTGTCTAGATGTCCCTACAAGGTGGAATTCCACATATATGATGCTTAATACTGCATTACTGTTTCAGAAGGTATTTGAAGCCTATGATGATCATGACAGTTCATTTAAATCTGATTTGGGAGGAAGTGTACCTGATTTCTTAGATTGGGAATCCATTCAATCTTTGGTTATGATTCTAAAATCTTTTTATGAAATGACTGTTAGGATTTCTGGATCATTGTATGTAACTTCTAATACCTTCTTCTCTGAGATTTCTGATTTGTCTTGCTTGTTGAAAAATATGGAGGAAGCTACAGAAGATAGTGTTAAACTGATGGGTAAAAATATGAGGGCAAAATTTGATAAGTATTGGGGTGAGCCTGAAAAAATGAATTTTTTGATATTCTATGCAAATATCTTAAACCCCATGGACAAAATTGAGTATATGCCCATTCAGTTTAACCAGTTATATGGTGAGGACAAGGGTAAAACAATGTTTGATAAGGTGATTGTTGGCCTTAAGGAGTTGTTTGAAGATTATGTTGCATGCTTCCCTGTCCAGTGTGTTGAACAATCTGAAAAATTTTCTCCCTCAATAACAATATCTGATTCAGTTTCTGTTGGGAGACCTCAATCATTACTGAAATCTCAGATTAAGAAGCAAAAATTGGTGAGTGGGGATTTGTCTAGGAAAAAAAATTGAGTTGGAAGTGTATCTCTCTGAGGTTATTGTGGATGAGGATGATTCATTTGACCTTCTAAGATGGTGGAAGCAACAATCTGAAAGGTTCCCTGTCTTATCTAAAATGGCAAGGGATATTCTAGCTGTTCCAATATCAACTGTTGCTTCAGAATCAGCATTCAGTACAAGTGGAAGGGTACTTGATGCCTTTAGGAGTTCCCTAACTCCTAGAATTGTTGAGGCATTGGTGTGTGCACATGATTGGCTAAGGTTAAGCAACCAACCAATCTCAATTGAAGAAAATATTGAAGATGTTGAAAGGATTGAGAAAGGTATATACTTCTAACTTCCAGCAATGATCTGTTTAATTGTTTAAGCTTTAATTTCCATTTTGTTTTTGTACTGCAGAGTTGTGCTGCACATCCAGCACTGGAACTGGAATGCCTACAATTGTTGTATGTTTACTTATTTACTTATTTGATTTGTGATTACTTATTTACTTATTTGATTTCATGATAAATTTATGCCTCTGTATCAGTGTATCATGTATGTGTATCAATGATTCAAATCAATGTCCCTCGTGAGGCTGGGAAGTTGGAACTGGAAACTGGAAAGTGCTCATGGCTAGGTAACATTTTAAATGTTGCTGCCATTGAGCTCAGGTATCAGTATAAGTACTGACTAAATGTCTAAATGTGACTTCTGACTTCTGACTCACTATACTTATAAGTTATACCTGTATAAATGTTCATTATTGTGCTATGATGATGCTTCCACCATGTTCTCTGAATATATAGAATTGGGTTTGGTATGTTGCCTTTGAAGTGTGGTGTTTATGCCATACTCATTGAGTAGTGTGCCCCCAATCCTAACTTGATATGGAAAAAAAAGCTATCTGAGCACTCTTTTAGTCTTTTACAGTTTCAGTTTGTGTGATTGTGTTATTTGTGTCAATTCTAACTAACTACAAATGTTTTGAACTTATTGTGTTTTTATGTGTTCACTTATCAGGAAGAAGAATAGACATAGAGTACTCTATATTATATTAATCATATATTCATATATTGCTTTTGGAGTTTTGGATATCTGGCTTTCTTTTGCTCAATGCCTGAAACATGAATGCTGATGTGCTGATTGGAGACTGATGCAGTGATGCTGTTGGAACTTGCCTGCTTGGCTGTGCTTGCTATGAACAATTAAAATTCTCATTACAAGTTTTAATTTTGTAACTTGTAAGTTGTAACTTGTAAGCTAATCTGCTGATTATATGTAAGCTAATTTGTATAAGTTTACTTATGTTATTTACTTATTTTTGCTGTTAAGTAGTTAGTAATTACTAGTTAGTGGCTTTTAGTACTTAAGTAGTTCATTAGTTAGGTACTTAGCCACTTAGGTGTTCCATTTAAATCCATGAATAGAATATTTGATTTTAAGTTTTTTTCATTCTGATAAATCCGAATTACAACACGGATATCCGACCGATCCGAACCAATCCGAAAATAAAAATAACCGATCGGATTAGTCAACAAAAATAAACGGTTAGGGTGGTCAAAATGGAAATCCGAAATCCGACCGGGGGTCTCATTTCGCAATCCGATCCGTCCGACTGCACAGGCTTAACTGGGGGTGGAATCACTGAAAACAGGAACGCCCCCCCCCCCCCCCCCCCTCTCTCTTTTTCTTAAGGTTAATTTTAAGGAGCACCCTAGCTCAGGAATTTTCATTATATATATATATATATATATATATATATATATATATATATATATATATATATATATATTAATAATTGAATAGGCAACCTGCCAAAAAAGTCAATCGAACAAATTTAACTGGTAGATGGACTTATTTGACACTTAATTTAGTTCGGGGTGGGAATTGAGCAGTTCGCAGTAGTAGATGGGCCTATTTGACACTTCTGCCCAAATTAAATGATTGTGTATAGAGTCGTGCACATGAACGGTCATATGCGGAAAATTGTAAGGAGCAAGCTAAGGTTTCTGTTTTGTAAGGAGTTAGGCACAATTTAGCTGATAGCTGTTAGCCGATTGGGTTAATTAGAGGGTATAACTAGTTGATAACATTAACTGATTGTAGAAAAGTGTTTGGTAAATTAGTTGTTAGCTGATAGCTGTTTGGTATAATTTTGAGTAGCTTTTTAAATTTTAACATTTTAGAGTACAAAAAGCTAATTAACCAAACACTTATATTGATTTTTAAACCAAGTCAAACAACTAAAAGTTGTCAAATAAACTAAAATTAACCTATATGCTAACTATTTTACCAAGCAGGGCCTTACGAATTATAAATTAAAAGTCTCAAAATTTCTTTGGAAACCTAATTGAGTAAAATAGTACATATGATATATGCGTATTCATATGTTGTGCTTTAGTTGTTTAGTTAAAAAAACAAATGTTGTAAGTAAGAAAATCATATCAACGACTTTAAAAAAAAAAAAAAAGGAATACAGTTATTGACTTTTAAGTATAATCTTCAAGATTGCTTTGAAAATATTGCTCCCTTAGAATATAACAATCTTCGGAGCCTACGAGTCTGTTTACCAACAGAAAATTATTCTCTATTTTTTATTTTCTAATTTTTCAGTTTTTATTCTTTGTTTTCTGTTTAGAAAACTTGTTTACTAACTGAAAACTGTTCTCTGTTTTCTGTTTTCCAATTTTTCAGTTTTCACCTAAAATTTAGTTTAGATAATATTAATAATTTTTGAGCTAATATTTAAAATATTTTTTTGGATATATTCATTTGAATGACATGTATATGAATATACAACTTTTATTTTGAATTATAATATATGTGAGATTTCAATATCCAATATCTGGACCGAACTTGTATTATGATGTAAGATAATTAAAAATATCCAAACTAATAATCTATTGAGTTCAATCAAAATCTAAAACATTATATAGAGTTTAATTCTTAATTTTGATAATGTAAATAATGTCTAACTTTAAAGTGTAACCAAATAAATTATGTTTAAATATGTAAAGTAAGTAGAAAAGATAGAAGATAGTGATAAATAAAATAAGATGATAATGAATGTAATCATAGTAATGTGGTTATAGTGACATATAATTAAATAGATGATAGATGATTCTGTTTTCTATTTCGAAAACAGTTTTTAAGTGTGTTTCAGTTTTCCAGAAATTTTCAGAAATTATTTTCAGTTTTCAAAATGGAAAACTGTGTTAGTAAACATGTTTTCTGTTTTCTATTTTCTATTTTCTAATTTCCAGAAATTTTTAGAAATTTTCAGTTAGTAAACGGCCTCGTATTCCAATGTTACAAACATATGTTTCAAAAGTATATTAAAAAAATTCTTTTTGAAACATATGTTTGTAACATTGGAATACGTAGGATCTGAAGATTGTTCTATTCTAAGGGAGCAACACTTCTGAAGCAATCTTGAAGATTCTGCTTGAAAGTCAATAATTGTATTTCTTTTCTTTTAGTTATTAAGTCGTTGATATGATTTTCTTAACTAAAACATTTTTTTTAACTAAACAACTAATGCACAACATATGATTATATGAATACACATATATTCATATGTACTATTTTACTCTTAATTTTCCAATGAAATTTTCTTAGTGAGGTTTAATTTATATATAATTCGTAATACAATTATGTTATGAGTGGACCATGAGTACAAAAAGTTATAAATTGTGCCTAACTCCTTACAAAACAGAAACCTTGCTCCTTACAATGTTAGGCATATTACCAAACATGTGCATGACTATACACAATAATATAATTTATTGTGGTACCACTATTGTTTAAATTTTTTTTTTTAAATACTCATGATTATTTACTCATATTTTTTATTATTATTCTGGTTATTGTAATTATTGTTATTATTGTTAGTGTTAGTTGTTATTATTGGTATTGACTTGTTGTTGTTGTTGTTATTATTATTATTATTATTATTATTATTATTATTATTATTATTGTGTAAGGATTTTAATGGGAGACAATAACATTTTTCATTTATTATATTTTGTGACCCAAGATAATCATGTGACAATTTTGGTTGTAAAAACACTAATTATCCATTACTCCACTTGAAAGATTTTTTATTTTTTTATTTTAAATGGAATTAAGGCTAACCACTGATGCAGTTTTTCAAGCTTTATTTAGAAAATATTTTTTTTTCAACTTAATAAATAATTTAATATAACTAACATTGTATTTTTAAATTTAATAATAATATAAAAAATAAATGATCAAGAACCAAACACGCCCCTTTAAGATCCTAAATAGTAAGTTTATTGAAAAAAAAAAATCAAAGAAATACCAACACGTTTGATTCCTGAAATGAATTTTAAGAAAATAAAGAAGAATATGTAATGAATAAAATATGAATTCATTTCATTGTTTGGTTCGTCAAAGGAATAAATTTAAGAAATTGTATTTGTGTTTGATTTGATTAAGGAATAGAAGTAAAATAATCATTCAAGTGGTAAAATTATTCTTTCCACTGATTGTGAGCAAATTATCGGTTAACCGCTCAAAAATCGCTAACCGATAATCGAACCGACCGAAAAAATCGGTTATCGGTCGGTCACGGTTATCACATTTTAAAAAATTCGATTTTTCGGTCTTTCGATTATTATACGGTTATTGGAGTCGGTTATCGGTCGGTGACCGATAACCGACATATATATATATATATATATATATATATATATATATATATATATATATATATATATATATATATATATATATATATATTAAGATGTCTATTTAAGTATAGATAAATTTTTATTTTTTTTTTCCGCCAGTGTTTTTTCTAGTGTTTATTGTGACTTTGGTTCATTTATTTTGGATTTGGAATTTAGGTTTTAGATTTTGGTAATGACTAAACAGTATGTATGTATATGTATTTTATATTTTGCCTTTTGGGATTTGATTTATCTAGTTTGAATTCGGTTTTTTGGTAACCGACCGAAAACCGACTGTCGGTTATCGGTCGGTCATAGGACCACCTCCGGTGTTAATTTCAATCCGTGACTTTTCAAACTAATAATTTAGTCCTTTAACTATGTTTTTTTTTAGCAGATTTGGTCCTCCCGGCTAAATCACCGGCGAAATTTTGCCGGAAAAACATAACCCATTTTAAATTAAATATGAGTGGGGGCAAAATTGTCAATTTAACTTTTAAAAAAGAGGCTAAATCGGTGGATGAAGATATGATCAAATTAAACATTTCTCCCCAGCACGGTGGCCTCGAACATGTCTTTGTCTTCCGGCTGCACGGTGGCCTCGAACATGTCGAATAAGGTGGAGAAGTGGAAGACAGCCTTCCGGAACCGCGTCGTGAAGAATGGGGAGTTGTACGCGCCGTTGCCGACGACGTGGATGAAGACGTCGGGGCGAATTTTCTTGATTAAACCTATGACAATGTCGCGCGGGCTATCGGAAACCTAGGACGATGTCGCTCCAGTCGCCTCCACTCTCTCCGCCGGCTGGGGGAGATCGATTCCGGTGACTGCAATCGTCGTTGTGGTAGTCGATTTCTAGAGAATTTGATGAGAAATCCCAGCAACGTGTCCGGATTACTTTCGTTGGATCAATGAAGACCTATGGGTGTGGAAGGGAGACACAGTGATTTGGAGCTGATGTTTGATTGTGAGGACGAACCCACCGGTGATTTCAATGCCGGTTTACCTCAATGTCTACGATTAGTGCTTGGAGATTTCACCTTATGCTACCTCTGTTTTTGTAGGTGTGTTTTTTTCGCCCATAATCGCAATTTTTGTAGGTGCCCATGCCCAGAGCGGAGGGCTTTCTGCGGAAGAGATTTCAACGTGATCTGCGGCGGATAATTCATCATATGTCATCTCTGTTTTTTGCTGTCTTGTAGCCCAGAGCTGAGTTCGTTGTAGCATTACAACTTAAATTGACCATTTCTACCTCGTCGGAATGCCGGTCATTGTCGGTCTCAGCTTCTTCACTAGCTTCGACTTCTACCTTCCCTTTTTTTATTTTTTTTTCCTTTTTTTTTTCCGGCCATCGCTGCAAGTGGAATGAAGAAGACCATGAAATGATGGATTTACCCCCAGGATTAAATAAATAAAAATTGTTTATAATTTTCTGGCGAAATTT